AACAGGACCTCTAATTTCAAAGGTAGTAAAGAATTATCCATTTGGCTAGGTAGCTCAGTGAGTTGGGTACCTGGTTGCAGAGAATTTGATTCTGCACTGTGGCTGTTATGGAAAGAGACAACTAGGGCAGCCTTGTGCAAACTGCAGGATCCCGGAGTGTCCCCAGAAGAAGGAAATGGTAAACGAGTTCTGCATATTTTATACTTATAAAACCCTGGGAATGGTTGCTAAAATTCAGGAAATGGCTTGGCATCATATAATTAATTAATTAATGTGTTCTCTGTGCCATGGCCACAAGGCCTAGAAAATGAATCTGTCTGCCTTTTACTGAATGAAAAGTGAAATGTTCCAAATGCCAGCTCCCATGTCGGTTTCGAGACTAGACATATGGAACTCACCCACAAGCTCACTCTAAATGCTATACTGACACACACACAAAACACACAAGGAGAGAGACTTCTCAACTCATGCTGTCCAAAGGCAGTAACTTTCAGTGCCTACAGGAAGCAAGAAGGTTGCAGCTGCCAATCAGTTTGGCATAGAAAAGGCTTTAGTGACAGCTCCAATATAGGCTATATGGAAATGTTCTTTTGTACACAGATGATCCTGCTGGGCTCTGTAATCTTCTCTGGGAACTTATTCTTTGATGGAGAAACTGCAAAAATATATTTCCTTTGCAGAGATATCTAATCAGTCACAGTAAGATTGCAAACAGGAGAGAAGGAAGCACAGCCTTTGTGAGACACATGCTTGTATAGTTAGAGCTAGTCTGAATCACAGTGGAGATCAGAACATCCCAGCCCCGGTGAGATCCAGGGACATATAGTTCTTACACAAGCAGTAGTTGGTAGACAACCTAAAGGGATTCTGCATAAGCAAAAGGGAAAGAAAAATCCCAAAATAGGATCAGCCAGAAGAGGAAAGAGGGAGGACTGGGAAAGCGGAGAGGCATAAGAATTAAAAAAAACAGTGAATCATCTGGTAGCACCCTGAAAAGTTTTTAGAGAGCATTTGTGAATTCAGGCTTGCTTCCTACTGTCCCATTGCATAGGTAAATGATCTGTGCAATTTTTACAGTAATTGAATCAAGTTCCATTTTGTTTGGTTGGATTTACTCATAGAAAGCATAACTATGATTTCATTCTCAACTGTGGTCTTTCAATCATTGTCCTGGAAAAACTGGATCAAAACTGGCAATGTTCTAATAGTTTTTTTTCCTTTTACTTATGTTATATCTTGTGTATTATTAAAGGTGGGATGTTCATCTAAGTCTGAGCTTCCCATATGTATTGGCTGGAACTTTCATTTAGGCTGGTTGGAGAACTGGCCATGATTAAGTGGTGCCCATTGCTATTCCCTTGCCCCTGTACCAGCCCAGCTAGACCCTAAGCACCCAGAGAGAACAAACAGAACTGCACTTCCAAAGCAGAAACTTTTGCTTCCAAAAGGTTCTCGTCAAGTGCTGGCCTGAAAGTTGAGCATTGGGGACAGCAGATTTTGGAGATCATGTAAGGGCTGAACATGATTGTTGCGTCCACTCAGTGTCCCTTGTTTGTTCTCCCCAAACTCTCAGGTCCACCCTCTGGATGAGTTTACTCTTTTTACGCTGCCACCAGTGGATCTAGTCCACACTATACCAAATATATATAACTCAGACACGTGCTGCCAATACAACAGGTTTATTGATCTTTTAGTTGGTAAATCACAGATGTAAATCACAGACGTTCATTTATTACTGTTTAAGATCTCTCATTAAAGTACTTAGGTTTGATTACACGTTTGTTTGCATATACTTATTCCCAATAACCACTTCAACAATACTCTTTGACTATCTATTCAATATTCCTTCCAACTCTTTCCTATTTTCTTTCACACGCCCACTTTCAAAGCTCTCTTAACTCTCTCTCAATTAATATCCTCCCTTTCCCAATTCAATCTCCTCACTCTCCGTCTCTCTCTAGCTGTCTAACTGTCACCCTAACTCTGCCCCTCCTGTCCTCTCATAGGCTCCTGCATCTGAGCTCCATATGATGGACAGGAGTGACGTAGTGACCTGGGCATTCTGCCACACGATTTTGGAGATCATGTAAGGGCTGAACATGCTATTGAATTTCTCATATTTTTTTTGTATTTTTACAACCAAGTCAGACAGCCACACGATTTTGGAGATCATGTAAGGGCCGAACATGCTATTGAATTTCTCTCTCTCTCTCTCTCTCTCTTTTTTGTATTTTTACAACCAAGTCAGACGCAAGGTACTAGAAGGATTTTTCTGCCTCATGTGCTCAGCTAACTTGTTTGGCTTTGTGTACAATGCAATGTAATGTCGATGTGTGGAGCAAGAGACACCATATGGTTATTTGTTCAGGCAGAAAATAATGTGGGCCATCCTTGCTCTATTCCCAAGCTCTCCTTTTTCAAAGAATTAGCCTCTTATCTCTGATCTTATTTCTATTGATATTTAGCTATCTGGTCTGTCTGGTCACCAGATGGCAAGAACTTTACATCTCAGGTATAGGAGGAGTTATGTATTCACTGACGATGTAACTTGTGCTAAGGAACTCTTGGACGTAGTGGGGTAGTCTCTGGTTGTTCTGGGTTTCCTCTGAGTCATTCTGCCATTTTTTTGTTGAGCATTTCAGTAGATTATTCTGGTATTTGCATCTACACATGGAGAGGGTTTTATTGCTGGATGCAATGGGATGTGCTGGTTTTCCCCAGTTCCACCTGGCCACACACATCCAGAACTGCTCTGTAGCATCTCATGTTCCCAACACAGATTTCCCTCCCCCTTTGCCTGTCTTCCCCACTCTCTCCCCTTACACACTTCACTTTCTCCTCACTTCTCTCCTTGTTTTGCCTATCCATGGGATGTGGAGATTGACCAACTGAAAAAGACCAATAAGAAAAAAAAATCATAAAATCACACACACATGACCAAATTGTGCAGATCAACATAGAATGCAACGATAGCATCCACATGAGCATATCCTTCACTGAAGCAAATTGGAGCAAAGCACAACAAAACAAAAAGCAAAGCAAGGTATTTTGTTCTACTTTGACTGTACTGACTCTTGTTTCAGCTCTGAATTATGTGGAGGTCAGTGTGCAGTACCTCCATGATGGGTGCAAAAAAGTCACAAAAATGCTCAGCTTGGACAAACTCTTATTTACAATTAATTCAGTGCCTTGGTCACCAAGAAGCCTGGTACTATGTGCAAAATGCCTCCAGTCTTTTCTCAGAGACAGACAGTTGCAGCTCGCTCAATATCTATAACCACCATTAAGGGAAACAGGCCCTGCAGTACAATATTATTAGTGCCCCAGCAATACAGACAATACAGCTTTGAAGCCTTCCTGCTCCCTCCCCCTTCCCAGTGGAAGCTATACAGTTTCTCTATGTGCCTTGGAGAGAAGCTTTATCTGTAATTGATGCTTGGCCATCAGCCACAAAGCCTGGATTGCTCAGGATTTGATGCTCTTTTTCTTCCCAGTTTAATTGAGGACTTCAGCTTTGGAGAAGCAAGGCCGGTGTCAGCAGCCAGACAAACTAGGCTGCGTTCCAAGATACTTGGCCTCTGGGGCAGAAAGCACAGGGCTACCAGTCCATTATTTTTGTCACAAAAGATGGCCTTCAGATCAGAGGTAAGGAAGGGCTCTCATCTGTTTCCTTTGCTGTCTCCTTTTCATCTGCCTACCCACAGCATGGGGTGGAAAGGATCTCTGCCTCAGGGCAACCAGAATGAAACTCCTCTTAATCAAGGTTTGACCCTATAGGCTAAAAACAAACAGATCACCTTGCTCCTGAACTTGGAGCTTATGGGTGTGGCAAATCCCTCTGCATCCCAAATGTATTTCAAGCACCACAGAGATCATTTGTTAGAATCCCTTACCTGATCCTTCTGAATCCTCTCTATTTGCATAAACCAAAGAGGGCACTTGATAAAAAGGGACAGTTGTGTTCTATTAAAAGGTTTGCAGTGGAAACAATGCAGAGGGATAGAATGTCTAGGAAATAAAACAATGTCTGCTGTGGTAGAATCTGGTACCTGAGGCTACTATAATGTTGTAGAAGCGGGAGTTTAAGAAGGAAACTAATGGCTTCCCATTAGTTAGCCCCTCTGCTTGACAGTCAGGCAGACAGTTTTGGGTGCAATAAACTGCTGCAGTCATCTACTGGTGTTGATGTAATACTGCATCACTCACAGTCCTCCATCTATCATAGAACCTCACCAAGCTATGCAGAAGAAAATATTTTTGCATGTCTCACTTATAATCTGCCCCTCCAAAAATAAATAAATAAATAAAATAAAAATAAAGTGTTGTTTCTGCAGCTTACAAATGGTTGTGCTAGTTGGAGAGGGGCAGTTACAGTAGAACATTTTCGTACAAAAAAGGGAGAAATTTATCAAATTCTGTTGGCTTTTTTTTAACAAAGCATAATGGCAAGTTGAAATATTATTTTGTATCCAGATTTATACAGACTTGAAGAAACAAAGGAGCTTTAGTTTACAATTCTAGTATACATGCCTACCTGGAAGTAAGTCCAACTGATTGCACTGACTTTATTTCCAAATAGCAATTCACAGGACAGCAGTCTGAACCTCCATTCTGGAGTAACTGAGAACATGTCCACACAGGACTTCAATCTCCTAGCTGAGCATTTCATTACAATTAAGTATGAGGAAGCATCCATGGGAGGATATGGAATGTTTCCCTTTTGTATGTTGCTACCTCAGAACCTGAAAGCTACTTATGAAGTCTGTATTCAACCTTTCCCCAACTTCATGCTCTGCAGACGTAGTAAATTACAAGCTACATCATCTCCATACAACATTATCCCCTATGCTGACTAGGGATGATAGGAATTGTATAATACTGTATATTTGGATGACACAAGGCTAACTGGATCTAAAAGCAGTCCTAAGCTAAAACAAAGCTCCTCTTGACTGTGTCTTTTACCAGTATGACCTATTGGCTAACCTGATGGGTCTGGATGAGGAAAAGCCAGGCTCAACATATGACTCAGAAATTAGGGGGCAGGGGTTTGAGTCTTTAGTTAATCACTTGATCTACCCTATATCACTTTGTTGTTGTGAAAGTTTTAAAAAAACACTTCAATTTGATTGTTCCTGTGTTCCTTATTTCTGAAACAGTCTGCATGCAGCCCAGTTGTCAGTCCCAGTTAGAATAGGCTTATTGAAACAATGGAACTTACACTATATGAATATTGGCTCACCAAAGTTCAATTGATTCAATAGGTTTACTCTAGCTGAGAATAATAATTGGACATACCGTAGTACCATGACATAAACTTAAGAGTCTTGGCCGTCTCACTGTCTATGTCACTGTCATGGTAATCCAGCACACTATCACGCCTGTTGTTTTTGTTGCTTGAACTCCCCCTCTACCCTCCCCCACACATTACAGAGTAACCAACAATAAAAAAAGGCAGCAAGAATACCTGGAAGCTGGATATCAGCTCTCAGACCTTTTTATTAAAACTCTAGTACAGTTTGACAGGAACAGGCATGTGTACAATGCAGAAGATAACAGTACTAAATACTGTCCAAGATACAGTAACAGCACTCAAAGGGGAAAACCTCAAAACAAAACCATCTCTCCAGTATAACAGTTCTGCGTTGTTCATTAAACACATCCATAAGTTCCTTTGTTAGGAAGATTTCTCCTTTCAGTAACTTTTGGCTTCAAATTGCTGAACAACTTTTGAGTCTTCAAAAAAAAAAAAAGATCTAGAGGCAGTGCTTGACATTTATATACTGAGCATCTGCAGGAGATGGATAAAAAGGTATCTAAGATCAGCAATGCCTGCCAGTAACCATGTCCAGGAACTACAGTGAAACAGTAGTAATGCCAACCAAAAAGTCAATCAATATAACAGAAGGGAGAAAGCTTTTGATAGAACAGTTAAAAGTGTGGGATCTCATGATGACACTGGCAGTGTGGAATAACCCTGGGACGTTTCCGATATATATTTTTATACATTGAATACATAGCAAGCAGGATTACAGCAACTAGGCAGGTCCTTAAAAGTTATACTGTACTCTCCTTTATATTTCTAACAGGAAAAATTGATCGAGACAGTCCCAGCTTTTAGTGACAGTCAGTGAGGATTCAACAGTCCTGCAAAAACAAGGATTTTTAGATTCTTTCTTGGTAAAAGCATTCAAACAGGAAAAATGAAAAACTGTTTTCCAACCAATACTTATTTTAAGATTGTCTCTGTCCTGGAGCCAAACAGACAAGAACATCTTTGGATTTAAAAGATCTGGCACTGAAATCATACCTTCAAATACTTGCTTGCTTGCCATTGATTCCTAGACATGAATGATTTCTTAAAATATATAATAAAGAAGAAGAAAAAAATGAGAGTTGTGCAGTGGAGAATCCAGAAGATCCTTCAAAGGGAAGAGCGGTGATGATTCATTCGGCCTTCTAAAGGCTGGAGAAACTGCCCAGACAGCACATATGGTAGCTTGGCTGAGTCAGAAGGAAAAGACAAAGGCTCAGTGGAAATGGACAGCATCATGATGGACCAACTACAGAGAGGGCTAGAGCATCATCACCCTTCCCATGTGTATTTGACACTTGAAAAATCCACACCACACCAGAGTATCATTCCTTAGGCTAGGAGCATCAGCATCAGATCCAAGTAAACTCTTTTTGCACAATAGCTTACGTAAGTATAAGGAGCCCTGGTCATTACCCCCACCTCCCCTCCCATTTCAGAGTATTTCTCTACAGCATGTCCATCTCTGCCCAGTTCATAAGCTCTGTACTGAGTGACTATTTATTTAAGCAATGTTTCAAATAATCTTTAGCAGACTGTTAAATCAGCCTATCCACTAAATGTGCATGCTACCTGCAAATAAAATAAAATAAAATCCTAGCTTAACAAAAAAAAAATATGTGAGAGAAGGGGGATTTGATTGGTAGCACTCCTGATTCTTATAACACTAAGTGTATCATACCTCCCAAGAAGTAATAAAGAAAGTAGTAATAATATAAAATACTGCTCTTTGCAATTATAGTTTTAAATCTTTCCAGAGGTAAGATTTTAAACGACTGCCTTACTGAGAAGCTTGCATCCAACTTTTACAAAAAATACCTATACACTCAGACCAGAAATGGTGCACCGTCAGTGTTAGCAACCTTGAAGCTAACTGAGACTAAATGGATGAGGTTCTCCAAAGAACAGTAATCTCTGGGCTGGTGTCCAGGAGGACACATTAAGATCTTCATAGTGGAGTCATCACCAAAGACAGGTGACATTTCTCTTTCTGATTTCTTTGTGGCCTGAGCACTGCCTTCCTAAAGGATCCACAGCTGTGGTCAGGCTGATCTTGCCTTCGGACCGAGCGTAGGAATAGTATCCAGGACAGGGATGGCCAATATGTGACTGTCCAGATTGTCCCTTGACTGCATCTCCTAACATGCCTCACTATTCACTGTGGTAGCTAAGACTGATGGGAACTGCATTTCAACAACTCCAGATCACCACATATTCCTACTCCTGATTGAGCATGAAGGGAGAAATGTCATAGACGGATATTCCAAGTGAGGGTTCAGATCATCCTTTCAGCAGCAGAATACCTTAGCTTTTCCCATCTGAACAAATTGTACAGTCCTTCAGGTGTTTCTCCTTATCAACCATACAAAGAGGTCAGGAACAGAAAGGAAGGAACAGAACTGCAATGTTATATTAAGAGGTATCAATTGAATCAAGCATAAGAGAATCTCTAAACTGCAGAAGCCCAGAGGCAGCATGGAATATCAAGTGGACAGACACTTGCTAATTATAGTTCTTTTTGTAATCATTACTGCCAGTCACTAGGATCCTGATGCAAAAAAGGTCAGTACTTAATTATCTTAGTTATAGAAGTAGCTGTGGTCATAATCAGTTCTAGCTGCAGAAAGTTCAAACGAGCACCCATGTTAACTCATGACCCAAGTAGTGAATACAGCTGGATTGTGAAGCAAAAGGACATCACTATAAAAGAGCACTTATATTCCCCCAGCAGGAATTATCATAATCACTGCTGGCATAATTTCCTATAGTTTAATTTTGGAGTATAATTAAAACAATGTTAATTTCAAAAAAATACAGTAATGTAAATAAGCCATGTAGAAATATTGCACTACGTAAATTTAAATGGGGCATGGTTCCATTTAATCCCCTGAACATTTTCTTTTAATAAGGCCCCTTTGAGACAAATGTTTTCAGCTGCAGTTTAATTTAGCAAGGCCACAGCTAATCACGCACATCTTGTGGATCGCACAGCTCCTGCCCTCTCCTTTCTGAGTGACTCTGGACCAGCAGCACTGGCGTGAGCAGTTCCAGTGGCCACTGTAGGTCAAGGAGTACATGCGCTGCCCCCTCATGCCTCTTGCACTGCCATACAGCGACACTCGGAGGGGAAGGACAAGAAAGCAAGAAGGAGAGGAAAGCAGCTGAGGTGTCTTTCTGTAATGATCAACTGTATAGTCTAGCTTTTCATATTGAATGAATGAATGTTTTCTTTTCAAATGGCAACACCTCCCACAATGCCTTTGCCCTTCTCTCTCTCTCTCTCTCTCTCTCTCTCTCTCTCACACACACACACACACACACACACACACACACACACAGAGAGAGAGAGAGAGAGAGAGAGAGAGGAGAGAGAGAGAGCGGTGTAGTCACCTGAAGTGACCACCTCACCCACACTGGCTAATGGATGGGCCAATCCTGTGGATTAGAGAGCAATATGCATTATTCCTGCTACAGACAACTAAACTACTTGAATAAAATGAAACCAATGTACACGTTTTTTCTGTTTACAAGACACACTTTAAATGTAAAGATGGAAAACCTGGCCAAAGTTTTTACAGCATCCAGTCGATAATCAGAATACCAATGCCTGTATTTTCACCCACAGCCTTAACGGTCAGGCCAGTTTTCAGCTTGGAAGTTAAAACAAATCAACTAAAGGATGCTCCTCTGACTCTCTTGCTGTTTTTGCATGGCCATGAAATATCACTTTTGGCAAGCTTCTGATTCCTGAGGGAATCCTTGGCTTTTTAACAACTTGATAACTGAAAACCAGCAAATGGCTCTCTTCCAGTTACTGTGACACCTTGTTAGGGTAAGCTTTGTTTGCTGCACTTTGCATGTCACATTGCTGTTAGAAGGCATAAAACCTTAATCTGGAAAAAAAAGGGACAACTTCCATGTGTGGTGATTAAATACTAATTATATTTTGTGTTTTCAAGTTCAGTTGCATAGTATTCCCATTGATTTTAACATGGCTAAATCCTTTCCAGAAGTAGCGCAGGATCAGTTCACTTGCTTTAGTCATTACTTGATGACTGAAAACAAGGATGGGGGATAGCTTTATTGGACCACTGAAATATAAGACAATCTCTTGAGATAACATGTTATGATTGATGGTGTTCTGTGGCACCTTTGAGACAGCAAGTTTTATTTGGCATTAGCTTTCATGGACTGCTGTCTGCTTCTTCTGATGCAAGATTTTAATTTTTTAGTAACTTATTGGTTACTTCTTGCTTTTTTGCTCTGTGGTGAGATCCAGCTAAAAAAGCAAGAAAATTGTCTGAAGTTTGGAAAATACCTCTCAAAACGCCACAAAAAATAATAATTGCTAGCTCCTCACTGCCAATGAGGAAGAAAGCAAACAAATTTTGCTCGTGATATGAAAAAGATACACTACTACCTCTACAGTATTACTTGCCAAAAGAATACCAGAGTACCCTTATTACCTCCAAAGTGACACATTATAGGTACCTTGTTACTTGTAATGTGTTTCTTGCAACCTCTGAGTGCACACTGATGTAAAGGTTCAGATGTAAAAACCATATAACTGTACAGTATTAGGAAACGTCTAAAAGATGGAACTTCCGGATGTGTCAAAATAAACCCCGGTGCAATTTCTACAAACTAGTAGTAGGGGAAAGTGTGAAGCAACCCGAGTTGTGTTTTTTAAAAGAAGAAAGCAACCAGCAACTGTGAAACTGAAGCAATCTGGAATGAGGATGACAGAAGTAATTCAATGAAATCGGCTTGGATTCTAAGGTCTCACTGAGAATATGAGGTAGGAAGGCTCCTTTCAGAAATGGGATCAAAGGACAGAGAGAACATATAAAGTTGTATTTATCTTGACTTACACTTACTTGCCCATCTAGTTTGGTCTTATCTACTTGACCATCAGCAGGTCTCCATAGGTGGGGCAAGAATGCTTTCTAGCCCTATCTGGAGAAGCCCAGAACGGAACACATAACTACAGTATTTCCATTCAAAGCATATGCTTTCTCACTAAGTGACAGCCCCTCTGAGCAGGAAAGAAATGGAGAACACAGACATTTAAGAGATCTGAAGCCTGAACTTGTTAGTTTGAAGTAAATACCACTGGGTTCAATGGAGCACGCCACAGTAATTGTGCAAAGGCTTGCAACATTTAAAGGACATGTACTTTGATTTCAGGGGACAAACTGAAGTCTGTTCCACTCCCCAACTCCTTTTTCTCATATCTCTTACCTTTGTGTAAGAGGTAACACCAGATCATGGTGCATACATATATGCATACATGTTTGTGTGTGGGTGCATGTATGTACAGCTCACTACACCTTGGATTACAATAAGTCTCTTAAACTGCACAGGCTGGAGATTATCCCCCTTGATACCAATGAGCTTCTGCAAGGAGGTATGCGAGACCTCCTTTCATGAGTTCCAGAAGAGGAACACACAGAAGGGGATTTTACCCATATTTTAGATGTATTTGGGGAGTAGCAATTTTTACGCAAAGAGACTATGCTACAAAATGTCTGGGATATGCTTCAGGCTAACAGTTGTACGCTTATATAAATGCAGCAGGGGTTGAATGTTTATTACAGGAAAAACTTCCTTTTATGGGATGGTTGTATTTGGTCCAGCTGCTTTTTGTTGATGATGTTTTTTACTTCATTACAATAAGCGAAGTCTTACTGATGTTTTTATTTTAACAGGAAGCACAAAGGAGCGTTGCTGCAAAGTAGGAAAACCGTAGTACAGATGATTTCTGGGCAGCTCAATTATTACTATGATATTTAAATGTCTTGGCCAGCTAACATTTTGGTCTTTCCATTTTCTCCACTCACTTGGGCTCCTCTGAGAAAATGAAAATATTCTGAGAAATGGAATGACAGTATTAACACACAAAATATGTATTTTGCTTGTACATTGCTTCTTTTGTCAAAAGTTCTCAATGCAACCATAAATATATAGGCCACTGTGTATTTAATAAACAGAATATTAAATATTTTGCTTGTGCATTGCTTCTCTCCATCAAAGGCATGGCAAGAAACTTTTTAAAAATATTGTATTCTTATTATTCCTTTCAGCACCAGAACAGCAAGCAGTTGACATTACTTGTTGCAATACTGGAAAAATAATTTACCAGTTGCTGGATGGGGAGAGAGACCAGAACAGTACAGCTGTTATGTCATAC